TCAATGAATGTGCGGGTAAGATAAGAGGCAAAAAGTAAAGCACTTTTCGTACGGCCCATGAAGTAAAGAAGCAGGAATGTCACCATCATCCAGTCTGAAAATACGTACTGAGAGTCGCCGAATGAGGAAGTAGCCGGCAGGAATCAGTAATCTCATCAACCTTTTTATTTATTGACGACTTGCGCAGTAAGTGAATGTCGCGTACACTCAGAGACCAAAAAAGGAGATCTAAACATATTTAATTAGTAGGAATGATAATAAATTGGTTAAGGATAATTGTACGCTTACGCTTTAGAAGAAAAAGCCCACTCGCATGAACGACCGCTTGGAATGCGATAGACGCATATCCTTTGCGGTTAAAATGCGCACTGTGAAGTGTGTCGCTAGCTTATTTTAGAATGGTGAAATGAGTTCCGCCTACTACAGCTGCCATAGGTCCAATTCCACGGCGCTATCAAAATCCATTAATAATTAATCTGGTCTAGTGAGACCGTGATCACTCAGAAAGCGTACAGCCTTATTTCATAGAATTTTGATTATAAAATTAGCAAATACTTTATAAAATGTTTGATTCCGTCTCCCGAGATCAAATGAACACGCCAAGAATTGTAGGCTGCATCCGCATATTCATTGGTAATAGGCAATTGAGATGTGTAACGGGGCACCCTTTGTTTGGGGTGCCGCGAATCTTCACTAATATTAGTACATGTAGAGGAAGCTAATCTACTAGAACAACTAGGTTGAGTAAAGGGTAAAAAAGAGGACTGTACTTAATATAGTTAAGCTATCAATATGACTTTAATCTTTATCTGACTATATTATACTACGTCGTCGTATGACAACAACCTGCTCACCACTCATTGCGCGCGTCTAGCAGCGATTGGTGGCAATCTATGATTGATATGTCTTATATCAACCAATCTTGGAGCAGCGCATGAATATTATCAAAGAAGGATATTATTCCTTCAACAGTATCTATCTCGAATAATATCGGTAGAATATTGTCATGCTAGACAATATCACTATTGGCACCGTTTGGTGTCAATTTCATGTAACGGGCTACCCCATTACATCTACCATCACTGCAGATATAGGACATGTTATGAGCCCACCTTCAATGAACTACAACCTAAGACCAAGTTCAAGCGACAAAGACGATCCACGCCAACGACATTAAAAGTCGTACAGCCTCTAGCTCTCTAAGGGCATGGCTAAGCTGCTTGACCTAGTGACCGAGATAAAAAGGGGTATTAGAGCCCGCCAAACAAGGTTCGGAGCTCAACGGCTCAAGAATGACCAAGCAACTGTTTTGTCCGCTGAATCGGCATCTTTAGCATTAATGAGGAGAAACACGCAGGACTAGGCCGCCATTTGGCCTTGCTTCGATTATCTACAAATACCGCGAGTATTCACGAGCCTATGCCGACGAACAGAGACATCAGTAATCAGTCACTTCAAAGTAAAAGCAAGAGGCGCTTATGCAGCTGAAATGAATATAAATGTACAGGCAAAGATAGCTGCAGAGACCTCTGAAGATTAGAGACCTGAAGCTGGTTTTGATTATTTCGACGGCAAAGAAGTTTACCTAAGCATCGGGTCAAATTTGAGCCATAGAATGAAATATATCTTGCAGCATTTAACTAATTAAACGACCTAATTAGTTGCATTTGTCGCAAGGAAATAAAGCTAAAAATGAATTCGAATTTAATTTAACTACAAATACTGACCCGCACTTTAACACTCATGTTAACATCCAGTGTAGCTTTTTACAACTTAGTTCGGTCTTAGCATTCCGAATTGCAGACAAGCTAGTTTTTTGTCAAGGAAAATAAAGACTATTATGTAGAAAGACCTTATGATGTAGTTGGTGGTGGTAGGCGTCGCTGTTTAAGGTGCTCACGTACAAATTTTGAAGAATATTGCCATAATTCGAGTAATAGTCGAAACGTTACACAAAAACCCTTCTAAGCAGGCTCTTAGTGTATAATACTGAGGAATGGATTTATTGCCGTAGAAAGATTACAATAACGCTCGTTTACCATTTAAGCAAAAGACTTGAAAGCCCTTGCGGGCTTATTACGTAGCACCTTGGGCATGAGGTATCTTGGAGCTGTTTATAATTTGAGAGCTGACTTCAGGGTCTAAGAACAGGCCGAATCTGTAATCATTGACTTTATTTCCGTAGAACGAAGCAGTTTTTAGCCGAAAGTATTCTTTTACTCAATAGATGCATGGATTTTCTACAGCTTTTTGCCAAGAGGTGTGAAACTATGAAAAATTGCAAACTCTTTACAAGGTGTGCTTGCCGTGGAATAAAGCACAACCCTGGCTGTTCAACGCGTCTGCTAGTAGGCGTGAAATTTAATGATAGATACCTTGTGATGTTCACTGCCATGATAATACATCACGGTAATTTATTACCTACCTGTTTATTTGGCGCTCTTTAGATCGTATCCAGTGGCTAGTTTTTTGCCATTAGGTGATCCACGATGGTCACCTTGTACACGGATGCTGATGACATAAAGTTGCTGATGAAAAACAAAACAGCATTGACCTGGACAAAATATCAATTGAGTTTGAGGCTTCATTGTCATGCAAAAGCGTAAATAGCGCTGGCACAAATTACTGATATTAACAAATTCAGAGGCCAAAAAGCAGCTTAATATGTGGCTAAACGAGAAGATCTACTCGATTATAGATACTATAGCACTACGGTACATGCTGGTCTCTCTCTATCAGCACCGGAGCTTATGAAATTTGAATGACAAAACACAAGCTCGATCAGTGGCTTCAGTATGCTGCCCGCTTAATTTTAAGATCACTAATCTAACCCATCCACTGGAACGATCATCGTGTATACATGTTGAGCCCGAACATAAAAAACGAAAACAAGTTTTTTGTAGCAGTAATGGAAGCCTATTTCTAAATAAGTTTCGCGATCCATATTTGCCAGACACCAGCAGTGTCGAAATTAAGACCTGAGCAGCGTAAAGTCTAACGCCTATTCCACCTTTGGATCAATTTTTTACACTGAGGCGTGAAGCAGGTAGGACGGCCATAACTTCGTACCAAAATCAAGGAGTGACTACGTCTACACCACCGGTCTTGTTGTAACATATTTGATGAAAGACAAATGACTAGTGTGCTTATTGTCTTTCGGCTAAATACTTAAAAAAAAGCTTAAGAATTTTATGGCTCTCCCGACACCATCCTCCCAGCTGATCTCCTTTACTCAATCGTAAAATAGCATAAATTTCCTTCGCTGGTCCTGTGGTTTTGTGTATTTAGATTCGAGTCCCTTCTTTCTTATATAATGCGGACACTTAGCCTTGGCTCAAAATTTTGGAAGGGAACCGATTGAGTTTCAGGTAAGCATGGATATATTGGTGGTTTATCATGAGAAAGCAAGAACTCATGTAGCAGAATTTTTGCATCGTGCGAGTTTTATGCATTTTCGCCGCTCTGTGGTTATGGGTCGTGTACTACAGCACAAGTGTGTCATTGCTGCTGTGGTAGTCAGAGTCGTTCGAGGAGCACTCTTTATCATGTGCACATCCCCTCCTTTTCAGTGATGATGCATCTAAGTCATAAGCATTATGCCCTTAAAGATGAGTTGCAGACCGACATTGTCGTGCTTGTTGCAGTGATGACCCAATTGCAATATAAAGCATTCGTCTACTATTGGTGCTCCATAAGCGTATCACAGGACCGGTTACCAATTTTTAGTTGGACCGACTACTATTTGTTTTATTGACACTAACACTATGATATTTGTGCAGCACACAATTGCAATTATTTTGTCTGTGCGGTACCTTTTAGGTGCTATGGCCAATTTTTGTCTGCATTTCTGCTGCGTATACTCGTACGTAACCAGTGTACATCGTGTCAAACTAAATTCAAAGCTTTCACGTCAAAAGAATCAACTGTAAGTACACATTATTCGCGATACAGCTTCGATTTTTAAGGAGCGCACGAATGTACGCCTCATTAAACATAATGTTGTAGTGAGATTGCGCCTCCAATTTTATCATCGTACCAATTGTAAAAATGCATCGCATAAATCTCCATTAATCTATCTACAACCGACTTAACCTTCCACTAAAAAATTACTTATTAAGAAAAGATTGAGCGCGCATCTGTCATAGATGTATGGACTTGATCTGCACTAGATGGCGCATCCGCTCTACATTTTTCTTCGGCGATTTGACTGACAGCCTGACCAGGACTTAGGTCCTACTGTTTGATTTTAAATCCGTCAAAAAGACACCGACTTTCTTAAATTATCTCCCTTCATGTCCCTGGACAAAACCATGCTCCTACAGCCTCTCACTAATAATTCTGTCTTTATCGTCTCTTGTGCGGCCTTTTGACGTGTAAATGGCCTACACCTTTACGTCCTTGGTGCGCTGTTTGTGTCGGAAACGACGCTATGCTTTCATTAGCCTTAATCTTGCATGTAAAACCTTTGTTGATTCTTCTCCTACGCCTTTGGGAGCTTTTTTTTCTCGTACTTGCGCATGGACAGCACCTGCATCAATAAAGGAGTCAGATCATCTCACTACCAGTGTTGCTTGGCTCTCACGAGTTTAAACATGAATTTTCGTGATGATAGAAAATGGCATCGCCACCCGTAACGGTTGAAGTAACGGCTGATGACTTAGAGAGATGTAGGAAGATGAGTGATTGAGTGGACAGCATAGTGGATGGTTGATTGAGTGGATGGGAGTGATGGAGAACAAGAACAACTAGTCCATCATGGTAGCGAGAAACGATGACACTAAAGACAATAACGAATTGCTTTTATCACAGCGCTACAGACATGTTTTACTCGACTACCATAAATGATCATGTTTTGAGCCCAAACGGGTCGTCTGACGACAACAACACGGCACAGGCGCCGCCGACTACCAGTCACGCAAGGGCTGCATCGGAGCCTGCCGTGGACGTACCTTCGCACGCTCACGCAAGGAGCGCGGAAATTAACGCGCTGCAAAAGGCTCTCAAGATGCTAGCTGGCATGGACGAGCGCATGAAGAAAATGGAGCTGTCCCAGGCAAGGTTTGACGAAGATGAGCGCATGGGTGGAGTAGTGGACAGAGGAATGTTGACCTCAATGCTTTGGCGCGGACTTCGCGGGCAGCTTTACCATGACGCTCTCGACCTTTCGGAATTTCCAAGCCACCAAGCGCGCTTGTGTGTCGATCATCAGTGTGCGCAGCGATCACAGCAGCCTCCTGTCCAGATTCCAGCGTATCAGCCTCTGCCTCTGCCACATCGACAGGAATCACCAGCTGCGCCGATGCAATCACCTTGTTAAACCCGTTTCGGACGCCCGACGCGAGGCAGCGCAAGCTCAAGAATCGAAAGTTCGATGGTACAGAAGTGGACGTCGGACTCGGTCCCGGCTTCTTCAACTGGGGCAAGACTTTCTGAAGACAAGTCGACATGGCTTAAGAGTCGTGCGGATTCCTGTGGGCCGAGAACGTCAAGACTGATGTTCTTGGCAAGTACCTAACCGGCACAGCAGAGATCTTCTTAAGAAAGCAGGTCGACACGTGGTGGGCCGTGCTATCGACTCTCCAGTACGTGATGAAGCGCATGCTTGATACTTTCGAGACGACAATCACAGCAGCTCAAGCGAGAAGCTGTTTAGGACAAGGAAGAAAGGCAAGCGCTTGTGGCAAGAGCACTACCATGTAACTAGTCGCAGTCAGCGATACGGCTGGTGGCACCGAGCAGCAGGTGCTTAACAATATGGGGCGATAAGCATTGCCCGACCTGTCGACGAATCTGATCGCAAAGTACGAAACGCATCGTGTCGACTACCTAGTGCACGCCGAAGAGCTCGCACATTTTTCGCGCAGGCAATAGAGATGAAAGCTTAACCGAGACGCTTCGAAAAGGAGGTTGTCGCACACGTGAATGAGTCCACGCCGCAAAAGGAAACGCGTACCTGCTACGGATGTGACAAAATGGGACACGTCAAAGCTGACCGTCGTAGCAGGAGGACTAACGACAGTAACAGCAGCCGTCGCGATAAGTGCGGCGGCAACATTGTGCTTACGATTGGCGAAGGCATCAGAAAGCATGGCAAGCGTCGTGCCAAGTGTAAACTGACACTGGCAATTAGCAGTGACCGTAACGAAGAAAGCGAGATCTGGATTCAAACAGTGAATACAGCCGACATTTCGTCAACAACGCGTCTCTACTACAAGGTATGCGATACTGCGAGCACGAGTGCCACCCAGCTGACGGTGAACTTATCAAACTGTCGCGCTTCGGTAGCGTTGTACTGACTGCGGAAGCAGAAAGACGTGGGCGATTAGTGACGATGACAAATTTTTACCTCGCACCGGATCTATCGAGAAATTTCCTGCCGTACAGCAAGCTTGAGCGCAAGGGTTCCGGACTCGTCTACGACGGCACGAAGCGCGCACTTGCGAGATGCAGCAATGGAGAGTCGTGTTCGACATCTGGATTGTAAACAACACGTACGTCGATACAGTGGCCCCGACACGCGCAGGGACACCACGCGGTGTGCTGATGGCGACGCTAACTCAAAATTCGACCGATGTGCCAGCCGTGGATGCCCAGAGTGGCTCGCTCTACTACTTTCACCAGCGTCTCGGTCGCTTGGCGTACGACAAGGTCGAGCGCATGGCAAGCGATCCATATTCCGGCATTTAACACACGGATCGTGCGAGGCCGACGTGCATTTTGTGCGCCCAAGGCAAGCAGACGAAGACCGCATAGTCGCGCAAGGACACGGGTGCCAACTCACCTATTGACCGCTTTCGTGGCGTTATTTGTTCGGACCTTAAGGGTCCGATGACCCCAAAGGACCGGCTCGGAAACCGGTACCCCCTCAATTTCGTGAACCATAAGCCCAATTACTGTCGCGTCTTCCGTGCTCCAACAAAGGACAAGGCTGCGCAGAAGTTCGAACACTTCTTGGGATACTTCGAGCGCCAGTTTGAGTGCCGCATCCACGTACTAAGGGCGGAAGGTCGTGCCGAGTACGCGAATGTAGAACTCTTTTGTAAGTCGACTGGTGTCGCAGGGCAGGTCAGCAAGGCACGCAACCAGGCGTCGAACGGCAAAGCCGAGCACCTGCACCGAACGGTGTTAAACAGGGCACGGTCAATTATGCGTGTCGCCTCCCGTGTCGTTTTGGGGTGACGCGGTTGAATACGCGGCATAATTTTTTGACCACAGTCTAACAAGTGCGAACGCAAAGCGATCGTCACCATTGGAAGTGCTGACAAAGCTCACGTCTGAATTGCGAGACATAGTAGCATTCGGCTCTGTTTGCCCTGTCTACCCGACCTATGCAAGAACTCGCTGGCGAAGCGATCGCAAGTCGTTATTATTATCGGACGTAGCGATGAAACCAAGTGCTACAGAGTGTTCCTTCACAAGGAAATCCAAGGTCACGGTCACACAGCACGTGAAGGATATTAGGACGCTCAGCGAGGCGCAGAACAATCAGTTACAGATAGCGCCCGACTACGAGGATCTAGCAGATGCGACAGCGACAGCAATAGCAACGGCGACCCAGACGCCGGCAGACCCAGTTTCGTCTTTGAACATCCGAAGTGGAAAAGAGATTTCGAAGTCATGGACGCGTGCTGCACACAGGACGCGCAACGCGGCGAAGCGTTTGTGTAACGGGGCACCCTGAAGCTTGTACTGGTGACAGTACAAGCTATTTATTCTGACGACAAAATAAGGCGGTGCCTCGGAACTTCACGAACACTGGTACGTGCAGAGGAAGACGGTAAGGAGAAGCGAGTACTTGGTTAAAGTAAAAAGTAGAACTGTATTTAGTATAGTTAATGTCTGCAATAAATCACTATTTATCCTCATTTAACTATGTCTAAATACAAATGTGCATATCAACTATCTGATCACCACTCATTGCGCGCGTCTGTCGTGGCGCGTCTTCGTTGGTTGATATAATGGCCTGTATCAACCAATTAGGAACTACTCGTAAGTGCTACAGAATATGTGTCCTTATGACAATATTCTGAGAACATAATTCTTATAGTTATATTCTACTCACAATTTCTTATAAATTGTTATGTAACGATTCACCCCGTTACGGTTCGCAGGCATCCAGAGTTCAGGAGGAGCCAGCACGTAACGAAAGTGTGGTGGCTCACGTGCATAAGCGCAACCCAACAGTAATTTAGAAGCGATACGCAGCAGCAAACGTAAAGGCTGGGAGAAATCTATGCTTGAAGAGCTCGATGCGCTCGAAGACAACGGCTTGTGGCGCTTGATCAAGCGTCCATCCAGTAGCAACAGGCTACACACCAAGTGGGCATACAAGACGAATACCGTCGCGCACAACGACTTCGAGCGACTCAAGGCTCGACTTGGCGCGTGTAAAAGGAGCAGGTCTTTGGCATTGACTACCAGCTCACCTTCGCGGCAGTCATGGACATGTCCATGGTGAAGGTGCTTTTGGCTCTGCCGGCGACGTGGGGCATACCCGCTAAACACGGTGACATACCGAATGCGTGTGTGAAGGCGGACAAGGAATCAAACCTCGAGATAATGCAACAGGTACCGCAAGCCATGGAAGTCGACAAGTCAACACTGAATAAGCTAGGTGCTTCAAGTCATAAGGAACTGGCACTAAATCTTCGCAAAAGTTTGTGCGGCCTTAAGCAAGCCGGACGACACTAGAGCTAGCTCCTGAGTGAGAAGCTATGCAGCGCGGAATTTACACAGTGTGTGGCAGACGTGTGCCTCTACTAGAAATGTGATGGAAAGGACACCGTCGTGGTGGGCGGATACGTCGACGAAACGCTTGCAAATGGCACCAAAGCAGCTGCAGTCGATCGTTTTTTTTGCCATCCTCGCGAGCCTGTCGATCAAGGACCTTGGCCGTGTGAGTAAGTTTCTCGGTATGAGCTGGGCGCTAGATGGTGAAGGCGGCTGCGTTCTGGATCAGGAGGAGGTGATCAGCTACTTGCTGCAAGAACAAAGCCTCACGGACGCAAACTGCTATGAAGTGCAGTCCATCGACAGCGTGCAACTCGAGTCCAAAAGCACGAATGGAGCGCCTACAATCAGAGAATTTTAGTCGCTCGTCGGATATCTGCCATGGGTCTCGCGGTGTACGAGGCCCGACATTGCATTCGCCGTCCACAAGACGACGCGGCAGACACGCCAACCACAGCTTCACGATTGGAGACCCGCGAAGCGTGTGACTCGCAACCTTAAAAGGACAAGACAATGAAGATGAACATGAATCCAAGAGACGTCGGGTGCGCGTCTTCCAAGCTCGAAGTATTAGCGACACTGACTTTGCCGCAGATGAAAGCGACAGAAAGCCGTTGACCAGCATCATTTACATTCTTAACGGCATGGCGATCAGCTGGAGCACCAAGAAACAAGGTGGCACGTCCCTCTCGACAATGAAAGCCGAGCTCGTGGCGGCGTAAGAGATCGCTAGTGAGCTGCGTGGCGTGCGCGAGATGCTCTGCGAGATCGGAATGGCGCCAGCGCTACCGATGTTAAAGCAATTCGACAACCAAGCGGCAATTCGACAGCTCGAGGGTAAGGCCTCGCCACTCAAGGTATAACGGGGTCACACTAGCCTTTGGCTGAATTGGTCAAAGACCTCCCATAAATGATATGGATGAATCTGTGTGACCTTAGAGTTTATAACAGCAAGATAATAACGATTGATCGATATTCCCAGGTTTACGGTACTTACCGTGTACGTACTTTGTACCGTCATCATTTGATGACTGAGTGATGTGGCAACCATCCATTTAGTTCGAATACTGATATTTGTATTCAGGATAATATAGGGTACACAAAGTAGGATTTTCCTTGATATAAAATCTAAATAAAGTTCAGTTCTCATTTTGAGCAGAAGTCCCTAGACTTCCCCCCCTTTCGCACCTTAAGTTTGACAGTTCTTTAGACTCCGGTATTACCCTTTCGCACATCGTGCGTGTAGTTCCTTAGAACTACAGTAGCTGAGCTGTTAGCTCGTAGAGTCCACCCGAGTTCCGTAGAACTGGGTGACTCTTTAACTTGATATATTAATTCCGTAGAACTAAAAGGCTGTCAGTGCAAGACGTTGGCTTGTTGAATAAGTCTTCCTCTGACTTAAAGAGCTGTGTAGCTCCGCTACACTTGGTAACACTTGTAGTCATCCTATACCTGAGTCGTTTCGACTTATTCTCCGTGAGATATGGAAGGCCTTGACCACCTCTCTGGGGCTCGACGCATCGCGCTCAATAAGCTTAGATCGTTGATAGGGGTCGAGCAGGTCGACCACGTCGTGGCCCATGGCCCAGAAGTGCTTAATGCACGTCTTGATGCATTTATGCACTTTGAGGCCACGCTGATAGGGCAGGTCCACGACCATTTAGCCTCAGCCGTACGTACACGGTACTTTCCAGTACCCAACAGTAGGTCAAAGAATCGTCCGCTCACTCTTAGCGTTAAGACTTTCGAGGGGGAAAGAGAACAAGTCTCCTCCTCTGGATCCGAGAAATTGAAATGGCTTTTGAAGTCGCCTTATTTTAATCGGAGCGACAGAAAGTTGGCCTAGCCATTTCTAAGCTCGATTGTAGAGCCAAAGAATGGGATCTTACCTGTGATACGTCGTTTAGCGCTGCGTTTCCCACATGGAATTTGCTTAAACGAGATATGTTTCGGGTGTTTGCACCACCGAATCAAGCGTATCGTGTTCGCTCCCGATTCCTAGCGACCAGGCAGGGAAAGAGAGAATTATCGGACTTTGTCCAAGAGTTGCAAACTCTCATAGCTGCTATGCAGCTGGACCCTCTTCCAGAGCAAGTCCGTGTCACCATTTTCATGGAGGGCCTTCTTACGGGGATCGCGAGGACTGAAGTCTTCCGCGTCCATCACTTAACGTTCGAGGAGGCTGTATACAAAGCGTTGAATGCTAAGTTCAACCTAAAAGCCGCTCGATATGGCACTCATGGGCATGCTTATAGATCATTTGATGGGGCTGAGCCCATGGACCTCATCCGTGCTGAAGAAGAAGAGAGAGATCTTCTGGCTGTTGAACAGCAACGTAACGTCCGTAGATGTTAGATGTGCGGGAGCACCAGGCAATTGCGCCCTCAGTGCCCACTGCGGAAGCCGCGTTAAAGTCGGCTGAGCCGCGTCCGCCTCCTAACCCCAAAGTAATTACGGAGCGGGAAAACGGCACCTCCCAGTAGGCACGGGGTGCCCTACTGGGGAGGAACTACGTTCTGCCGAATCTTTAGGTGGTGAAGATAGACAGAGCTTAGCCCCAGACGATCTTGTGGAAGCTTTCACGAGACATGAGTATAAGTCAGGCTTGTTATTGGCCTCGGCTACAATTAAGGTATTTCAAGAGCTGTGGTCACAAACTAATTGACTCCAGAGCGTCAGGCAACTATGCTCGACGCCAGTCCCTAGAGGGATGTCAAAAATATGCTGAGGCGCTGAAAGTGCATGAGGGTGATGTTATCACAGTTCGATTAGCGACAGGTACTCGCGTCACCGTACCTATAGTTCCGTTGAACTTAGGTGTGTAATTTTTAGATTTCGATAGTATCGAACGTTGTCTTGTCCTGATTTTGGACTCGAGATATGATCTTATCCTTGGCATGGCTTGGCTTGAACGCCATGAGCGATGGGTTGATTGGAGGTTGAAAACCAAAAAGCAACGCGTAACGTTCCAAGGGAAGCTTTGGAGAGTCATGAACCCAACTTTGCTAGGCAACAAAAGCGCTATTGGCGCGCGCCACTGACGGAGTCTGACAGTGTGCTTGACGTTGGAGTGTCTATGCTAGCTAAATCTGATGTCATTGACAATAGTGAAACGGAAAATATACCGTTGAGTGACACTAGTAGTGACAGTGAATCACTATGTGCTGGAAGCATTGATGGCTTAAGGCCGAGGTCATCATCCTATGTGTGATCCCTGTGATGCACGTAAAGTGGCACGTAAACATCCACAGAGTGAGGTCAGCCGTGATGGCACCCCACTAAATGTCGGTAATGACACTGTTTGCGATGTGCCAAGGCATCAAGAGCTATGCTCAATAGATGAGAGCGTAGTGGACAACTGTCCACAGAGTGAGGTTGGTCGTAAGGGCACCACACTTAATGTCGGTAATGATATTGACTTTTTGAGAGAGCAGTTTGAGGTTGAAGATAGTCTTCACCTCGTGGAAACGGATGTTTCTAACACGTTGAAGTGTTCAGTCTCTGCACAGAGACGACAGCGACACCAGATGCCGGCTGTGAAAAGAAAGGCTTCTGCCATGACCCAGAACGACACTGGTGAACAGTTGTACACGTTAGTCAATGCGGTGTCGGGTGCGATTGATGAAGAAGTTGGCCTCGAGGCCCTCCCACTGATTAACGCTCTGCTAGAGCTAGACGAAATGTCCGTAGACGAATTTCATCAAGCTTTAAAGGCTGGTGCTCTATCCGATATGGTGGTCCTTAGACCTGATCTTGACTCGAACTCGTCATCCCTTGTAGATGAGACAGTCCTTGAGGACATCAAAGTTGCAATCAGTGCTCGCAGTGGATCTGCAATTTGGAGGATTCTTCAGATCCCTTCTATCCTTTAGTAAATGGATTTCAGGACGTGGTGTGTCACGATCCACTATCCACTCTACCTCCCGACCGTCATGAAATTGACCTGGTCCCTGGGACCAAATTTTGCGTTACACGTCAATGGCCATTGCCTAAGGAACAGTGTGACTTCATTGATGAGTTTTTTCGTGCAAAGCACGCGGCAGGCATGGTGCGGGAGAGCAAATTTTCACACTCGACACCGACATTTTGTGTCAGAAAGCCTTATGGAAAGTGGCGTATTGTGCACGCTTACAATAAGCTCAATACGAACACTATACCTGCCAGACACCTATTCCTAACAAGGATGTTTTTCAGAACACTTGGGTGGGTTGCACCATGTTTAGCGCACTCGACTTAGTCGATGGTAATTACCAACTGCTCATGCGAGCGAGTGGTATCCCGCTCACAGCGGTTAGCACGCCGGGTGGCATGCTTTGGGAGTGGCTTGTTATGCCTCAGGGACTTTCGAATGCTCCCGCAATTTTTAATCGTCTCGTGACGCAGTCGTTCCGCCATCATAGAGGATATGCACAAAGCAATTTTGATGACATCTTTATCCGTAGCCGTGCAGACAATGGTAGTTCAGATGTGGACAACCACATAAATTATTTACGAGCAGTGCTCGGATGCATGCGCACTAACAAGTTGTATGCAAATGCATCTATATGCATTTTTGGTGTTGAAGAAATCCGTTTTCTAGAGTACTCCATTGGAAAGCGCGGCCTACATGCAGATCCCGCTAAGGTAAAATCCATTGTGGATTGGCCGGTTCCGTCTAACCCAAAAGACTTGCGTAAATGGCTTGGTTTAGCCAATTACTAACACAAGTATAGTGCAAACTATGCTGACATGGCAAGGTCATTAACCAACCTCCTTAAAAAGGACGCGGTTTGGTGTTGGGAATCGGTTCAGGCTCAAGCTTTTCAAGCTGTTAATGAGAGTCTCCTATATGCTCCAATGTTGGCTTTGCCTAACCCGGAGCGACCTTTTACTGTCGTCTGTGACGCATCTGATTCTGCCATTGGTAGTGCATTGTTGCAAAGTGATGTCGATGAACATGAGCGCTTCATTGCGTATGAGTCTCGCCAGCTAAAAGTTCCTAAAAAGAACTATTTAGTTCATGACAAAGAGTTACTTGCAATGAAAAATTGCTCTTGTTAAGTTCAGAGTACATCTACTTGGCTCCAAGCCGTTTGTAATCTACACGGATCATGCGTCGTTGCGATCTGCGGATCAGTCGCATCATCTTTCGCAACGTATGGCCCTTTGGCTTTCATTCTTTGCTGAGTTTACCTTCGAGGTGAAGTATGAACCAGGGAAGCAAAATGCTTTGGCCGACGCGTTATCGCGCAGACCGGATTATGAGCTTGCTCATGTTACGACTCTGTCGTATTCTATCCCTTATTTAATCCGTGCGGCTTATGCCAAGGATAATCAGTGTGTCGCGTTGTTAAGCGCACTCGGTTGTGATGAGATTAAAAC